TTTTTTTACATGCATGCAGTGTTCTTTGTAACAGCCTTGCAAATAGAACTTAGTTTTGAAGTGAGTCAGGCTTTCTACTGCCAAAAACCCGGAATCTTTGAACTGCCTTGTTGTTCTGTGAGGTAGTGCAACACGGATGATAGGATAATAAGACACTGCCGTTTATGTGCTTATTTATAGTGCAAGGTTAACAAACAATGCAGCGCTCTAATAAGTTTAAATCCTTTTATACTTGCATATGTTGACATTCTTTATGGGCATATGGGTGTTTTGATGTTTGTTGTGGGAGGCTAACCAGCCACTTTAATTACTGCAAAGCGAACTCCCCCTCCTATTCCATGGCCAGCAACCCACAAGGCAAACACACACACAGTCTCTCTCTCACTCTTAACTAACCACATGCAGTCCTAGCATGTGACACTTTTTCTTGTCATCATCTCACCTGTTGTCATGGTTACCATCAGGGCTTTATTGTGAGTCAAATCCAGGCACCAGGCCCAGAGCACTCACACTCTGCTCAGGTTGAGTGGATCGTTCTCATGCCCTCACAACCCTTCCACCACATAGGCCAAAGCACCACACAGCGCATAACTTACTCCAACTCAGAGGTGTTTGGTTTGCAGTCACTGCCTCTGTCTTTTCATGTGACGTTGGGCACATGCATGTCAGTCAACATTTAAAAGCAACACTGACTCACAGGACATGAGTGGAAACAAGCAGAGGGAGAGATGCCTGTCACGATGCTGCTTTGTGAATGTGTGCTTGAGACAAAAGGGAAAAAAATACAGTGTTCATATCGCTTGTTTTACATGCAGTGGGCGTCTTTCATGAGACTGTTAGAAAATGTGACATACTTATCTGATATTAGTTAAGAGCTATGAAATCCGTCATAGCAGAGACTTACAAACACATTACGATTACAAAGCCTTCCTTCAGATATAAAAGAGTAAATCTCATATCCAAAGCATTATTTTGATGGGATTAGTTTTATAAGTGGTGTTTAAGTTACAATAATGCAATGTCACTTTTTTTTCTTAACTTATTGTTAGGTTACTTATGTTTCAGACATTTTTATAAGGTTTAATATAAATATTTTAGTTTGGAATTAGTATGATTTGTTTGATCAAAAATACAGTAAAAACGAATGTTGTGAAATATTAGAACGATTTAAAATAAGTGGTTTTATTAATGTGATACTTTTTCAGGATTCTTTGATGAATATAAAGTTAGTGATAAAAGATAAACTATAAAAAGGGATAGTAAATACTTATATTACTACATATGATTAACAATATAAGTCTTTATAACAATACAAGTCTTTAAAATATATTCTTTGCCACCACAGGAATATATATATATATATATATATATATATGATATTTCACAATATTACTGTTTTACTGTTTTTATTTATTCATTCATTTATTTATTTATTTTCAAATAAATGTAGCCTTGATGAGCATAAGATGAGCATTGATGAGCATACTTTTCCTAACTCTTGTACGATAGTGTCTATGTGTATATAGATTTTGTTCATGATCACACTTGATGTAGCCAGTTGCCATTCTGAGCAGTTTCTCTACTTATTGAATCACTTTTCTTTTTACTTTAGATGGGATGCCAGCAGCACAACTATCCATTATTGTATCCAGGCAAAACATTGGTGTAAAGGTTAAAATCTATAATGAAGTTGTGCCAGGCAGCATTACAACAACAAAAAATGTGCTTAAGGTATTCGACAAAGGTCAAAATAAATGAGAGGAAGTGTTGTAAATATATATATAATTTACCAGGATCATAGACATTCCTATCCAGACTGGATTAGATTTCTCAGAGGATGCATGAGTAAGTCGAAAGCACTATGTAATTTGTTCTGTAATGTGTTGGTTGTGTTTGAAGAACACAGACATGTTCATTTTGGATGGGATTAAAATCACGTAGGATGCCAATGAAACATAAATTCACTTGACACCCTTAGAGAAAACTTGTCCCGTACCAGTAGGGCTTAATTTGGTTCACTGGACTGGCTTCACAGGTCCCAAATAATAATTTTCATTCAATAAGTAAAACTTTCTCATTCATGTCAACTCTTCAGTAGGCCACTTTTAATAAGTGCACATTTTACTGACAAAGGCTAAAATGTCCTGGATGCCTCTTACTGCAGTGCTGTGAAAAGTTACAGAGTCAGAGCGAAAGCCTTTCTCCTCTCTCAGATGATGAGAAGAAGAGCATTTTAATGAATATTTACGTTCCTCCTGTCTTTTTAGAATTTGTAATTAGACACTTGGCTTTCTCTTAAATCAAAGTCAATACTTGCTCTGCTTTTCGATGGCAACGTGACTCATTCCTTTTGAGTCTGCATTGCAATGAGAGATATAAGACTCTTGAAGTTCTTGTCAAGGCCTCTACCTTGAGCTCCACTTAGCAAACCTATTGAAACAAACAAATTGAGCTGTGGTGCTCATGTGGGAAATTTTAGTTTGAATCTGACCTCTACATTGTTTCCTGTCATGTAATGCAAAACTGACCACGTTTGGACATACTTAAAAATATATACATTCTGAATATCTATCTATATCTATCTATCTATCTATCTATCTATCTATCTATCTATCTATCTATCTATCTATCTATCTATCTATCTATCTATCTATCTTACACCTTTTTTTCAGTGTAGTTGGTAAGTTGTCACAGATATACCACAGTATAAATGGTTGAAGATCTCTACCTATTTACCATCACATTATTACGCCCAGCCTGCCGGACTGATTGCTTCCGTTATTTCAAACTTTCCAGACTTTCTGTCTTTCCCTCATGTTTGTGCTCCGTTCAGATGGCAGCATGTGATGAGCTGTGCATTTTCAAGCGAGTCACCTATTAGCTGTTGTTAAAGGGTCCAGAGAGTGGTCTTTCTGAGGCTGTCCACACATGGCAGTTCTGACTGCTGTGAGCCTCTCCTCCAGCTGCTGCATTGGCACACAAATGATCCTGGTGCTCGTGCATTTCCATGGAGACATGTTTGGATCCTGTGTGAGCTCTGATTCTCTCCAGCTCAGTCTAGTCATCTGGCCTGCAGTATTTGGCCTTTTTTGTACATCCTGTGTCTGCAGAATTTCACCGTAGCAGCAGTGTAACTGCTAGATCAGTTGTATCGCTTAAGAAAATAAACTCTCCATTCACTACCGTTCATTTTTTTTTTATATAAACAAAATTATTTTTATTCAGCAAAGGTGATTTAAATATATCAAAAGTGACAGTAAAGACATCATATTACAAAGGTTTCTATTTCAAATAAAATGTTCTTTTAAGCAGCAAGATTCCTGAAAAAATTATTCTCAAAGAATCCTGGAAAAATATTTTTTATCACAGTTTCAAGTAAATTAATAAGCAGCACATTTTTTTTTATATTAATAAGGATAAGAAATGTTTCTTGAGAAATAAATCTGCATATTAGAATTAATTCTGAACAATCATATGACACTGAAGACTGCAGTAATGGCTGCTGAAATCCATCTTTGTCATCACTGGAATAAATTGCATTTTAAAATGTAATTTGTATGAACACATTACATTACCATTACCAGTCATATTTCATAATATTACTGTTTGTACTGTATTTTTAATCAAGTAAATGTAACCGCTGTGAGTTATAAGATAATTATTGCCGACTCCAAACCGTTGAACAGTGGTGTACTTATTTATTTATTTATTTCCCTCCAAGAAATGAAAGTAAAAAGTTAATTCCGTTACATTGGTAAAAGCCTATATTAGAGAATATAGTGGTAGTGTAGTTGTAATGTATTGTGTTAAGACTAATGCCACAAATGCAAAATGCCATCCAGCCTCACGTTCTGGTGAGGTTAATAAAAAAGTTCTTCTTTGTATTGAATGTTGCCTTTGATGTGGACAAAAAATGGTAGGATTAATTGGACAAAAGTTAAATATTTAACCTGATCCAGACAACAATACAAGTACAACAAAACAGAAGTAAAAAACTTTCGAACAATCTTTCCATTTCTTCTTGTATAAAAGTCTCCTCAGAATGCCGAGTGCACATCCTTTTGAGCGTAATGTATAAAACATGCTTGTAATGTCTAATTCCCATTTTCAGAGTCTCCCCGGGACAACTCAACTGTAATACTCAGCTCTTCAAAAACTTTCACTCCCATATAGATGAAATATGAAAGACTCGTATATGAAATACTTAAAAAAAAAATTGTCTGCACATCTTTTTGAGGTACAAGGATTTTTTTTCATTCAGAGATGTCATATGCAATGAGTGAGCATCTTCAAGGTTTTGTACAGAACAAAATAGAACCATGAGACCTATATTACAACAAGATGTACAGTGTCAAAAGTGTCTGCTTTGTGCAAGTCTTCAGAGGTAGATGTCATGGCTCTTCATTTGCTAAGATGATTTGCTGTTCTGTCCTTTCTTCTTTCTTTGAACAGGTGCCTTAGTTTGTGTTTTTGAATCTTACCTGTGGATTGCAGATGCTAATTTTGTTTTCAGTTAAACCATTGTTTTTGAAACAGTATATGAATTTGTCTCACTTCTACTGAAACCTGGAACATTTTGCTGGCACCCACACATTCCTTTCATTGATGTTTCCTCCCTGTTCTTTAATATATTTGTCAGCTTGTATTTACTGTTAGTTAATATTAATGTTCTGAATGTATCCATAGAGTTGGAGTCAAGACCAGAAACCCAGATCAAGATCTGTCGATCCAATAATCAGGCTTTACCTTTTTGGTAAAGATTGGTGTTCCAGAGTAGTATTGTTCATTGGGTGTCTGGCAATCAGAACATTAGCGGCACGTAAAGAGCCTGTTTACACAGCAATCCTTCTTCCACCTCCCTCTTTTCTGTAGTATGAGTTTGAGCTGAGTGTTGTGCTCCATGCAATCCAGTTCTGTCTGGCGTCTTGGTGGGTGTCATCTATCACTAAAGCAAGTGTGATTTACACCATTGTGCTGACACAGGTTCATGAGATACGAGCATGAACTTGCCACAGCTGCAGTATAATGGCACTCTCACCTTCGCTTGCCAGCGGGAAACACTAGTAAAATACATTGTTTGTTTTGTGTACCTCTGACTGTAAGCACAGCTCAAACTATTTTATTGAATCCCATTACAATTACAGGACCAAAAACAACGTCAGTACAATCTCTCATCCTTGTCAGGGATATATAAATACAGAATATTTAGTTGTATATTAACTATTGTACATTAATTAACAAAATGTATTAGTAAAATATTTTATGGGGAGATAACTGATTAGTTGACTAGCATATTTGACACTATACTTATATTTGAAAATGTTTATTTCACCAGTGTTCCAAGAGAAATGCACGCCATTGCATTTCCCATTGTTACTCCATGTACGATTTCAGAGCATCAATACAACAACAACAACAGCAATAATAATAATAATAATTGTCTTAATATTACTATTAGTCAGTTACTCCCAACACTGTTAAGTACAGAAGACTCTATGCAATGTGTGTTTTGTTTGTGGAAGAAAAGAAAAAGAAGGAGAGGAGAAATTAAGTTAGTGAGAGGAGAAAAAAGGTGAGCCGCAAGCTGTAAACTAATAGAAGGAGCCTGTCTGATTTGTCTGATGCAGTGGCGGGAATTGATATTTCCCGCAAGCCTCAGGGGCTCGAGTGGAAATTCCTCCTCTGAGCCGCATCGTTCCCACTCCATCACCCTGATCCATAACTCAGAAGGAAAAATGAAATGAGAGAGGAAGCGTCAGGGGAGAATGAACTGATGAAATGGGATTATGGTCCTGTATTAAGAGCAGCTCCCCTTGAGTCCTGGCGTCGGAGTCGGGCCTGTGTGTGTATAAATGCAAGGCTGCATTCAGCATCACCGTGCTGGAGCCGCCAGACATGAGAGAAGTGCAAATGTGTGGATAGTGAAGCCTCTATATATATATATATATATATAT